AAAATGGCTAAGTAGGAAAAACAGTAGAATAAGTATTTACAATACTAAGGACATGGAAATTGCTTGGTAAATTATCTCTGGATATTTACATCATTTGTGAACTTGTGAAGACCCATCATCACTTTCCTGAAATGTTTGAAGTATGTCAGATATGTTTGATATTCAAGATTTCACTGAATTTGGGGAGGTAATGTGGGTACATAGTGTGTATTGAGTGTCACATCTCCAATCCCGAATCAAATACATTGGCATTTTTGTGACAAAAAAATGCTTATTCAAGTTAAAATGGGATATGGACCAAAAACAGTCTTGTATCAACTTAGGTTTGGTTTACTTATAAACGAGCTATGGGAAAACATTCTATTCCATTGAATTTTAAAACTTAAAAGATTTGTGGGCCTGTTTTACCCCGAAGAAAAGGAATCCATGCTCAGAGAATAAAATATGATATCTGTAAGAGGTAGTGGTGTTTATCTCTAAGAAAGCTACAAGATAGACACACACACACACACACACACACACACACACACACACACACACAAGAATCAATAAACCCAGTAACATATCTTGCAATTTACAGTCATATACAGAAATTAATATATCAATTACATTTAGGTATGCCACCAAAAGATTATATGCTACTGTAAAACTACAAAGACTGCTTTGAAAACTAACTAGCAATGTGCAAACATAATTTGTGAGTTCGGTGGCACTTTCAAAACAGACTTTATGTTCCAATTCCTCACAGCCATGTTCATGGAAGAATGTTCTGGAAACAGCAGTTTAGCCTGTGTCGCTTCCTGGTAGAACTCTTTGGAGCAACCTTTGTCAAGTCTCCTTACACATGTACTATGAATAAACAAGGACTTCGCACTAGGTACCTGGGAGAAAAGCAGTCTGTAGAATGCTTGATTTTTAAGAACTTAAATTAGATTCCCAGAACCCTTGTTTACAAAACAAAAGTCAGGGCTGATGGCACATTGTTGTAATCCCATTGCTGGGGAACATTCCCAAGTCAGTGAGATATCTGTCCCAAAAAATCAGTGAAATAAAATTAAAAATATATATATTGAATGATACTGGGGAACAACGCACTTCAAGTTGTCATATGGCTCCCAAGCACATGTAAGCATGCATGCGCGCGCGTGCGCGCGCGCACGCGCGCACGCGCACACACACACACACATACACACACACACACACACAGAGACTGTGCTAAGTCAGTTCTTTGTACTACTTCATTTCACTAACTACTTTAGGTTGACTACCTCTAAAGAGACTTTTAAATACATTTCTGTAGTCCCTAGCAATTAGCTCAAGCCCCTTATCAATTTGAATGTACAATTTAGGATCTCACTGAACAAGTTTTTATGGAAAATTGAATGTATTGAACATAAGCAAAAACATGTATTTAGCAATTTGGCATTTGTCATTATGGCCCAGCACATGCTTATATAGGGACATAACTTGTGTAACCACAGAGACTCCAAGAAAAAGAAGCTGATGTGGAATTGTGGAATTGTCCCACAGATTTTGTCATTTTGAAGAGATACCCATACTCTCTGGGCGCCTTGAAAAGGGAGGGGTCAAAAGACAAGCTTTTTCTTCCAACCTGCAAATCTAGTGAAAGGTGACAGGAAAATGAGACTAAAAGGGCACAATGAAAACTGCATCTTGGTGGCATCACACTCAACAGATTGTGGCCTCCAGTAAGTGGCAGCCCCCAAAGCCTTAGTCTAGTAGGGTGACATACAAAAGTCATCCAGGGTAGTCCACTATATAGCTGTTATCATTATGAAATCATTCTACACCCATTCACAATCATTCTAAGCTATATACATCTTTGGTTATGCTAGGTCAAGCCACTTTCATTTCAAAACAAAGACTATCCATTAATGGGAATATTTGGCAGTAAGTGCAGCGAGGGCAGGAGGCACCAAAACTGAAGACCATTTTCTTGTCTGCACAGCTAAATCTGATTGGATTCTCGTTGGACAGGAACACCAGACAGAAACTTAACAAAGAAACAAAAGAACTAATAGAAGTTATGGCGCAATTGGACTTAAGAGATATCTATAAAACATTCCATCCAAATACAAAACAATTTACCTTTTTTTCAGCGCCACATGGAACCTTCTCTAAAATCGACCACACACTTGGCAACATAGCAAACCTCAACAGGTACAAAAAAGTTAAAATAACCCCGTGTCTTATCAGACCACCATGCTTTAAAATTAGAATTCAACAACAAGACATACAAGAAACACACCTCAACTTTAAAGACAGATGGTACCTAAGAATTAAAGGTTGGGGAAAGATCTTCCAATCAAATGGACCCAAGAAACAAGCAGGGGTAGCAATCCTAATATCCAACAAATTGGACTTTAAACTAAAATCAGTCAAGAGATGAAGAAGGTCACTTCCTACTCATCACAGGAGAAATCCATCAGGATGAAGTCTCAATTCTGAACTTTTATGCCCCAAATAAAAAGGCATCCACGTTTGTAAAAGAAACATTACTAAAACTCAAATCACACATAAAACTGCACACACTTATAGTGGCAGATTTCAACACCCCACTCTCACCACTGAACAGAAACTTAACAAAGAAACAAAAGATCTAATAGAAGTTATGGCGCAATTTGACTTAACAGATATCTATAAAATATTCCACCCAAATACAAAACAATTTACCTTCTTCTCAGCACCACATGGAACCTTCTCTAAAATCGACCACATACTTGGCAACATAGCACACCTCAACAGGTAAAAAAAACTTGAAATAATCCCCTGCGTCTTATCAGACCACCACGGTTTAAAATTAGAATTCAACAACATGAATTACAGAAAACCTACAAACTCATGGAAATTAAGTAAAACCCAATTGCACAATTCATGGGTCCAGGAAAAAATAAAAAAAGAAATTAAAGATTTCCTAGAATTCGATGAGAATTCGGACACAACATACCCAAACCTAGAGGATACTTTGAAAGCAGGGCTAAGAGGAATCTAGCCAAACTGAACCTATTAAAAGATAAAGTGGGAAATACCCTTGAATTAATTGATACTGGAGACCACTTCCTGAACATAACACCAGTAGCACAGACACTGAAATGGACAATTAATAAATGGGACTTCCTGAAACTGAGAAGCTTCTGTAAGGCAAAGGACATAGTCAGCAAGACAAAACGGCAGCCCACAGACTGGGAAAAGATATTCATCAATCCCACATCTGACAGAGGGCTGATCTCCAAAATATACAAAGAACTCAAGAAGCTAGTCTCCAAAACACCAAACAATCCAATTAAAACATGGGGTACAGAACTAAATAGACAATTCTCAATAGAGGAATCTAAAATGGCTGAAAGACACCTAAGAAAGTGTTCAACATCCTTAGCCATCAGGGAAATGCAAATCAAAATAACTCTTGAGATACCATCTTACTCCTGTCAGAATAGCTAAAATCAAAAACACCAATGACAGTTTATGCTGGAGAGGATGTGGAGAAAGAGGAATACTCCTCCACTACTGGTGGGAGTGCCAACTTGTACAGCCACTTTGGAAATCAGTATGGCGACTCCTCAAGAAAATGGGAATCAGTCTACCACAAGATCCAGCAATTCCACTCCTAGGCATATACCCAAAATAAGCACATTCATACAACAAGGACATCTGTTCAATGATGTTCATAGCAGCACTATTTGTAATAGCCAGAAACTCAAAGCAGCCTAGATTCCCATCAACCGAAGAATGGATAGAGAAAATGTGGTCCATTTACACAATGGAGTACTACTCAGCAGAAAAAACAATGGAATCTTGAAATCTGCAGGAAAAGTGATGGAACTCAAGGAACCATTCTGAGCGAGGTAACCCAATCACAAAAAGACAAACATGATATGTGTTCACCAAACATGATATGTGGATTTTAGACATAGAGTAAGGGATTACCATCCTACAATCCACACTGCCAGAGAAACTAGTAAACAAGGAGGACCCTAAAAGAGACAAACTTTGTCCCCTGAAGAAGGGGAAATGGTCACCACCCCCTGAGCAAACTGAGAACATGGGAAGAGCGGGGAGGGAGCTACGAGAATGAGAAGGGAAGAAAAAGAAGGATGCAGAGGTCATGAGGGAGCAGAAAGCTTGAGTCAGGTGTAGATTAGGAGGACATATGATAGGCAGGATTTTAGGTGGGGGGGGAGGTGGTAGGGGAAGGGAGAAGGGAACTGGGATCATCATGTAATTCAATCTTGTTTGTAGGGAAAAAAAAAGAATGGTAACAAGTGTGAAAGGGTAGATTAGGACAGTATCTTGTAGACAGCAACTCTTACTGTAATTGTCTATGCCCAATATAAAGACATTGGCACATGACTTCCTGTGACTACTTCAGCTCAGGTACCTTGACAGACAAGTCAAGGGAGGAGGATTGTGGCATGTTTGGAACAACCTATACAGTATAGGCTGGACTATCATATCCAGGTGTATTAATGAACGGCAACATGATGACACCTATTAGGAGTTCTAGAGATACACTGCTTATATTACTATCACCATGGCCTCAGTTCCTCCAGCACATCTTATTTTACAGTATCACATCACTCAGGTGGCTTTGAGTTTTCTTACCAGAGCAATAGAGATAACTATAGCATCCCACTCTAAAGAGTTGTGTGATTTAGTTAAGTTCTGAAAAGAGTGGTGGCACTCACGTTCAAGGTGCGGAGAATGTTACTGTCACATTTACATATTAACTACCAGAAATTCCTATGAAAACAAAGCTATAGCAGCACTGCTGGTAAAATGTCAAAGATGCTCAAAAGTAACAGGAGGAATTCAATGAAGAATGACAAAGGCACAGCAAACTTACTGTGTGTCTTCAGCCAGTATGAAAGGGTTCATAGGACTTTGTTACCATAACCAATGTTGTCTCCTAAATACGTCATGGAAATAAGATACACACATACTAGTTTTCTTAATTGTATGGTATCAATAACATGGACACATTTCAGCATAACAGAACATTTAATTGCACATATAATTCTCATCAACCATCAGAAACTGGGATCATATTGGCCACTTCCACTGGTTGGCAGGAGGCTCTTCCACCAGTGGCTCCCATGGCTTCCACTGCAACATTTTCCTTGCCAGGCTTAGTTCGTTTTCAGCCTATTAATAAAAGAAAAATTGAAAAGAAGACCATCTGTTATTCAGGAGGCATTTTCAGAGTAATACCTGGGAGTTAACTCCTAGAACTCACTCTCACCATCAGGGTTCTAATGTCATGACATATCCTGCCATCAAATACTGAGTATTACAAAATTAAAGTTTCAGAGCCACACAGTCACTAAGAAAGGTCACCTCAGAGTTCTGAAAATGAAATCTGCAGGAATCAGTGTTCACAAGCTTTTAGAAATGTAAGGCCTGTTCTTCACTTACAACAGTGGCTTTCAAATTGCACCCAAGTTCTCACTTAGCTGCAAGTCAAGAGCAGCACAGGACTCCCAAACACTAAATGTTCAGGGTTTCTTTACCTGAATGATCACCTCTTCTACTTCGCCACCCTGAAGCAAGTTTTCTAATTTTTTAACATCTGGTTCCTACAATTTTAAGCAGAAAGGAAAAAAGATAATTATATATAGAAGTATAAAATCTGAATATTTTAATGTCCTACATGTTAAAAATATATAAAAGCCCTTCTGACAATCAATTTTCTCTTACCATGCTCATAGGTTTTTACCAAAAAATTTGACACAAATCCATTTCATTTCTCTACTATTCCATTACTTTTGTCTTAGTATTAAAAACTATTAGATATTAACATACTTAGCAAAGGTAAGGCATGATATATAATTTAGTCTTTCTAATAGATTTTCAAATATTTTATTTTTGTAAATATTTTCTATACCACCTGTAAAAAAAATAACAATAAATGCTATCAGATAACCAAAAAAAAAAAAAAAAAAACTCCTCTTCTGGGTAAATACCAAACAATGCATAATAAACTGTATATTCAAAAATGTCACAGAAGCCATAAATTACACCCCAAAACTAGAAATAACCTAAATGACCACCACCAATAGAACTGATCTTTCAATTATGGTACTGAGATACAGCAGATTACTATATGGCAACAGTAAGGGATGAATTATAATTATTCCCTCAAATATATTACTAAGTAGGAAAAAGCAGATATGAATGTTGTATGAAAGTTATTCCATTACCACAGAGTTTAGAAATAGGCAAAATGAAAATCTATTAACTTAAAAAAAAATCAAAATAGTAGCTACCATTAGGAGGGTAGTAACGTGGAATAAATGATTTGGTGATATGGAATGTCACTTTTTTGTCTGGTATTAATTAGAAGGTGTTAATTCTGAAAATCCATCAGGCTCTACACTTATGATTTCTGTATATTTTTAATGTGTATTATTCTTTAAGAAAATTACTAATATTATACCTAGACTATCTAAGGAAACTCTTCCTCTGATAGACTGAGCTTTTTAGTGTCATTATGCAAGTGGGTTTTGTTCCATAAGTGAAATGAAAAGAGCACTAATGATAGCAACTTTGTACTCTTGATGGTATGGGAAAACAGAAGCAGGTCTTCACAGATGCAAGGCAGTGTTCAACTGCTGAGCTGCATGCCCAGGAACACCTAGAGCTTGGAGAGGGCATATCCAAACCAGCTAGATAAGGCCAGGGGCATTTGAGAGAAAAGAAAGTGACCACAAAAATAAAGCTGCACGGAATCCTCAGAACTGTCAGCAGCTTGGAGTTGATGACCTGTGAGACCTAACAGGAGATGGCCGGGGGTATTAAGAAGACAAACAAGATCTAGGCCTCAGCAGATCTCACAGACCATGCCAAAAGTAACCATGACTCTACCTCCAAAGCCATCAGTTAAAGCTGGGTTTCATATACCCAGCTTGGGAAGAGGCTTAAAACTCAAGTCTTTCAGAAGGAAACACAACACAAGAAAACCACAGGATGATTTTTTCAACAGGAAAAAGATGTAAGATTAACATAACGAGAATGAATTCTATTATTAGCAATATGAGACACAAAGTAAGATGGCACCACGGAGAATTAATCTGAAGGCAGCTGAAGCAGCAGAGGAAAGGATTTAGGTTCCTAAGTGAAGAGGTGATTCAGTGAACTCTGACACTGTGAAAGGATAGAAAGACCTAAGACAGAAAGTGATGGGAACCAACTAAGTGCCTCAGACTACTGAAAACAATGATGCAGTGCAAGAGGGGAAAACAAGAGGACAGACAGGGTAAGTAAACAAAGGTCACGGAAATGGGAAGCTGAGGAAGAACCAAGGCACAGTGCAACAGGTTCAGCTGTGAAACGCAGGGACATACTTACTCTGTGAAAAAAGACATCAGTTCATCTGCCTCAAACAAATCAAGCCACCACTAATCTCCTTCAAAGACTGAGTTTGGAAGTTACTTCCAGACTTGGCAAGCTAAGAATCAAAGTTAAAACTCAGACTGCTGTTTCACTATAAAACAGAGGTCTCATCGACTGACATTTTGGTGACTTACTAATACATATACTGTTACCTCTTATGCCTGGGTGAACAGTTTTTGAATGCTACAAGCAGTGTGAAATAACCATGAGGGTGAAACCTCGGCCACAGGGTGACAGAGTTCTATGAAACTGGCAGTCCGCTCACTGTCTCCCTACCCAGCACTGTGACTGAGAGCTGTAGAGGCTCCATGTGGTAGGCTACTGTAACAAAATACATAGAACAACTGGATTAAACATTAGAAATTTCAGCTGAGCCTTGTGATACAGATGGGGAACCTCACCTATTCTGGGTGCTGAGGCAGGAGGATTGCAAGTTCTAAGCATGCCTGAGCCATATACAGAGTTAAGTTCAAGTCAGTCCTTGGCAATTTGGTGAAATGTGTCAAAATAGAAAGCAAAAGGAGGGGTGGGACTCCTGTGGTAATACTTGCCTCACTTGTGTGAGTCGGGGGCCAATCCCTAGGACCATTAAGCACACAGTAAACAAGACTTTTCCTGGAGAGAGCAGATGCCCAAAGTCAAGGTGACAACACAGTTGGGTCTAGTGAGGGGTTTGTTTTCCCCCTGAAGTCACAAACACCTGGCACCCTGCCATGTGTCCCACATCCCTCACTCGCTGGGCTCATGGCAAGGGGCAAGCCCTGACTGTCTAGTGTCTATTTTACATGCATACTGATCCTTACGAGATCAGGGGCCCACCCTTGTGAGTTTATGTAACTTCAATTATTTCCTATGATGATTTCTTTCTAAATAAAGCAATCATATATTACAGCTGGGATATACAGATTTCTGGGAACAAAGTGATAACACTGTTCAGTGTAGCTTTGAGTAGGTAAGAAAACCAAATGTGGCCCTCTTCCTGTACAACAAAGTGCCTGTGTGTCTATGGGATCAGCCATGGAACCTAGGGCTCATACATGTAGCCCAAGATGACAATAAATTTGTGGTCTTCCTGCCTCAGTGTCCCTAGAAGCTGGGAATTAGGGGCTTGAATGACCAAGCCCAGGACAACAGTGCTTCACACACAGAAATCAGTCAAAATACAGGGGTTTGCTGAATGAAAGGAGAAGAGCTAGAAGCGCAGCCCTGAAGGAAAGACAGTGCACAGTAAGAGCTAAAAGAACCAACTGGAAATATTCCTCAAATGTCTTACTAGATGTGTAAACCCAACGAAAGTACACTGACTCAACTACTTACCGCTTTGACCATGTCCAGCTTCTCACTGGTGATCTGTTCTGTGTATTTTCTATAGGCTGCATGCTTAGGGAAGTGTTTCATAATATCGAGAATCTTTGTATACAGAATGGTTAGCCTCTGAAAAGACAAATGATACACATTTCACTACGTTAAACTACCACCAAAGATTAGACTGAACACATTTAAGTATCTCACAGGAAAAACTAAGAGGATTCACAATTTTAAACTGTGTTTTACTAAAATTCTTATCTATGCTCAATGTCACTCTTTACAACCTAAGGAAAAGTGGAATACAAACAAGGGAATTCTATCTGTGATACATATAAAACTGTGTGAATATCTATCAAAAAATATAATTGCAGCAAATGCCTTCTTTGGAAGTCAAATCACTTATTAAAGCAGAATTCCTCTTCTTGAGGTAACGGGTACTACAAATTATACAGAGCACAATGGAGACGGCAGGACTATGGGAAGACCACCAGGGACAGCATCAGATGTGGAAGGAGCAGCCGGAGCCTCCCAGACAAGCTGTTTGTACTGTGGATAGCAGAGTCTGGAGAGTGTGCTACTCCAAGCTTTTTGGAGCCCAGAAGATCCAATGTACATCCCAGATGTCAGGCACTAAGCTACTTACACTGTTGGGTTTTAGTTTTGCTTTGATCTGGTTCTAACTGCTCTGTTCTTGCCTCTTGGAATTAGGAAGTATGTAACTTGTTTTTGATCTTACAGAAGCCTGTAATTAGGAGACTTTGGATAACATGTATGCAGTATTGAATGTGTAAGCATGCAGGTGTGTGTGGAGAACTCAGTTTCATGCTGGGAATCTACCTCCATCTCTTCCCACTTTATTCATTAAGGTGGGGTCTCCTGGTTGAACCCAGAGCTCACAGACAGGACTGGACTAGCTAGAGCTTCCTCAGGAGATTCTCTGCCTTCTGAATGCTGGGATAACAGGTAGCTGCCACATCCACACAGAATTTAAGTGGATGCTTGGGACCTAAACTCAGTACGTTGAGATTTCTTTCTTTAAGAAATTTGAAAGGTTGTGATCTAATTTAAACTCTTAATTTTGGCTTCCTTTTAATCCTCATCCTCTCAAATTTATGAATATAATGTATGTATTCATTTTTAGTATAGTATTTTAATAAGTTTCGATCTGATTCAAACATTGAGGTTTTTTAAAAGACGGAGGGGATGTTGACTAGAGAGATGGCTCAGTGCCTAAGAGCACTGGTTGCCCTTCTCTCAGAGGACTTGGGTTCTATTCCCAGGATCCACAACCATCTGTAACCCTAGTCCTAGGGGATGAGATACCCTCTACACCGGTACCAGGCACACAAGTGGTACGCAGAGATACATGCAGGCAAAACATTCCTACACACAAGTATCAAGCAAATTGAAAACAAATTTTTCTCATCTTTCAGGATAAAAAGGAACACATCTAGTCTTACAGAAATTCAGATGAGAATCAGAATGATCAGCACAGGACAATACAAAGAAAAAAGTGTCTAACTTATTGTCCAAACTGGGTCACTTCTCACAGTGAAAGGAGACTCTACTTACTCATCATTATGCCAAAATACAGATGTAAACTGAGCAGTCCTCTTAAACAGCAAGCACGCAGACCCTACCTGGGCATTTCAGTAATCACAAGCAATCAACACTTCTAAAGAACATCTCTGTTTTCAGTAAGCATGGATTTTTTCAGTGCTGCCATGTAAAGTACCATGTGTTCTTTGGCTATTAAGACAGGCTGGACATGGATCAAACCCTTTCTACACAGAAGAAACTGGTTAAAAAAAAAGGGGGGGAGGGGGACATGATAAACACCATAAAACACAAAATCCATTTCCAGTAGGCTGGGGTGAGACACAGAGCAGGGAGGTAGTATTAAACAAAACTAAGAGCTCACTGCGTGCATTCACATAGCTCCACAGCCTAGTGGCCTGGGCAAGCTGCTTCTATCTCATTCCTCATCTGTAAGATGTAGAGAATGCACAGGATGTTGCATACAGGATGCAGCCACATACTGTCTCAATCTCAGTATTAGCATCCTATAAAAGGAAAATCATTGCAGCAAAAAGCAGAGGGGTTCATAAAAAAAAAAAAAAAAAGATGCACCTGAGACACCTTTGAGGGATAAAGGGAGTTGAAAACTCAGAGGTGTTTGAAGAAGCAATTTACATACAAAGTAATACAGGACTAGAGGGCGAAAGCTCCAAAACCATACAGGAAGTAGCTAAAATTCTGCAGTGGTGCTGTGCAGTCAGCAACTGATAGTCAAATACAGCGGTAGAGTACTTGAAGTGCAACTAACCCAGACTGAGATATCCTGTAAAAAAGGCTGCAAACTAGCATTGATTTTTATATTGATTGTATACTAAAATGATAGTATGTCAGACGTTAGGTTAAATCGTAAAAAATAATTTAAAGAAGCCTTTCTTTTCCCTTTGAAACGGGATCTTACTGTGTAGCTTGGCCTACCCTATCTTAAGATCCTCCTGTCTTAGACTCCCAAATGGTGGGATGACACTCATGCACCATTTTAGTTTTCTGCATTTAAAATAAATAAATAAATACATACATACATACACAAATAAATAAACAAACAAATAAATAAATAAGGGAGTCAAATCGGGCGGGGGTGGAACACGCCTTAATCCTAGCACTTGGGAGGCAGAAGCAGGCCGATCTCTGAGAGCTGGAGACCAGCCTGATCTACAAGAGCTAGTTCCAGGACAGGCTCCAATGCTACACAGGGAAACCCTGTGTTAAAAAACCAAAATAATAATAATAATAAATTACATTAAAATAGCTTTACACTTTTGGTGCTCATATTTATTTGGGTAGCACTTGACTAGAAATGAGTATACAAAAGAAACACTTAGGAGATAAGGTAGGACAAAAAGACTGCATGTAGTTTTACACACCAAGTTAAAGTACTTGGGCCTTTTTGTGTGGGGAGCTAAAAGACTTAAGAAAAAGGCACAGTTAAGTCTATGTTTTAGGAAAATTAACCTGGCAGTCATGACTTAAAGGAATGAAAGAAACAAATCAACAAGACCAGTAACAAAGCTGTTGCAATCATTTAAAGCACAAGGGCTTAAGCTGCACTAATAACTAAAGGAAAAGGAAAGAGGTCAAACAAGAGTATAGGAGAAAAATTCACAACACTTCATTTATTGGAACAAATATGAAAGTAGAAGATTCTAATATCAATGACAACAAATTCTGAGTGTAGGGGGGAAGAAAGATTCATAGACCATTAGGAGAAATACAAACCATAGAGGAAGAATGTTAGAAACAGAAAACTATGACTTCTGTTCTCCACAGTAAGTCTGAAGCACAAATTTATAAAGAACGCAAGAGAGTCATTCACTATGCACTAACTACATACTCTGTACTCATCAGAGTCCTAGCAGTGAACACACAATACAGTCTTATCTTTGTCAAGCCTGGACAGACAAGATACATCAGCAGAATGTGGACCCTAAAAACCCTCCGGAAGGTTTTAAAAATGAAGTGGCGTGACCTGACTCATTTTAGCACTTACAAATCAGCTGGGGGGTGGGGGGTGGGGGGGGGCAGGGAAATGCATTTACCAAAGTAATGTTAATTATCACAGAAGCAAGGACAATGACAGAAAAACGGTACTAGCAAAGGTGGTGAGGAGGATACAAAATCTGGATATATTCTGAGGGTGGAATCCGGAGGATTTACTGAAGTAGCAAGTGAGACGTGAGATAAAGAAAGCAACCCAGTATCATTTCAAAGGGAAAATCTTAGCTGGATCTGTTAAGTTTGGGTTACTTGTCTGACATATAAGTGAACATACAAGAGCATGTGTGTGTATACATACATACAAACATGACTTGACAAAAGGAGAGGTCAGTACTTGGTAGAGAAATAGAAGAATTAACTGTTTCCAGACAGTGAAATCATTAGACTGTCTCCACTCAATGAGAGCAGAGACAATCTAAATTTAAAAACTAAGAATTGGGTCACAAATACCACAATCAAGTATAAAAGTGAGAAATGAGGAGCAACTGAAAAAGGCAAAGGATTAGGAAAAAAGCAGTAAACGACCCCCCCCAAAAAAAAAACCACTAAAAATAGGATACTGAGAAGCCTTGGCACAGTAGGTAAAGATGCTTGCCACCAGCCTGATGACCTGAGTGAGTTAGCTCCCCAGTTGTTTTCTAACCTACACACACACTGGCACATACACAAATAAATATAATAAAAATACTTGCAATGCTACTCTTGGTAATATTAAGAGAAATGTGAACTGACTAGATTTAGCATCACTGGTATCTTGGATAACACCAAAAAGAAGAGATAATGAGAAGCTGGAAACAGTAAATATTGATAACTCAAGTTATATTTGTATACAGGGAAGGAGAGAAACGGTGTAACTCAGCGTGGTGGGTGTAAACCAATGTGTGTAATTGTAATCCAAGGCAGAAATATTTAAGGCAGGGAAAGGACGGAAAATGAAAGTGCAGACGTGGAGGGCGCTGAGAATAGTCCATGTAACTGAAGCTACGAAAATGGCATGAAAAGGTCAAGAAGAAAGCATCCTAACAGGGAGACCATGGCAAAGGCAACGTCAAAAAGGGGGGCCTGGGGTCATCGAAGCTGATGATGCTGCTGTGGCAAGAGCTCTGGGGGGCTGCAAGACCAAGGACACACACACACTCACACAGACACAGAGAGACAGACAGACAGACAGAGAGCTCCTGCCCTGTTAACCTTGCAAGACCAAGGAGCGCACACACACACACACACACAGAGACAGACAGACAGACAGACAGACAGACAGAGAGCACCTGTCCTGATAACCTTGCAAGACCAAGGAGCACACACGCACACACACACACACACACACAGAGAGAGAGACAGAGAGACAGACAAACAGACAGAGAGCGAGCTCCTGTCCTGTTAACCTTATAAGACCAAGGAGCACACACACACAACACACACACACACAGAGACACACACACAACACACACAGACACTCACACACACACACACACACACACACACACACACAGAGACAGACACACACCCGTACTCACCTCATGTGGAGTGTACACACACAACACACACACACCCGTACAACACACAACACACACACACACCCGTGTACACACACACACACACACACACCCGTACTCACCTCATGTGGAGTGTACACACACACACACCCGTACTCACCTCGTGTGGAGTGTACACACACACACACCCGTACTCACCTCATGTGGAGTGTACACACACACACACCCGTACTCACCTCGTGTGGAGTGTACACACACACACACCCGTACTCACCTCGTGTGGAGTGTACACACACACACACCCGTACTCACCTCGTGTGGAGTGTAGAGTGTCGCACACAGCCAACCCCATCAGGCCGGTGGTCTGTTCAGAAACAAAACACAAGCGCGCTGTTGACTGTCACCCGCGGCACGGCGCAGGGAAGCCCGTCCGCCGCTCCGGGACCGCCCCGCTCGCCCGCCCGCGGGTTAGCCGACCCTTCCGACCCTCCGGACCCGACCACGAACCCAGCCGCCCCCTGCCAGGACAGCGGAACCCTGGCCTGCCCCGTCGGCTTGGCGTCTCCCCCACGGAGACGGGGAGGGACAGGGAGAGGGAGACGCGGCTGCCCTGGCCCCAACACCCTGGTGACCTCTGTCTGCCCACCTTCTTCAACGCCATGACAGCATCCGGAGCCCGAGCGCGCAGCCCTCTGGGAGCCGCTGCCAGGCCCGCTCAATCGAGCGTCGATGCCGCTCCTGTGTCACCTAGGTAACCAGTGGGCTCCAAAGGCTCCCGCGGCAGGCCTGGGGGCGGGGCGGGGGGCGGAGGATAGGTGTTAGTCCAGCCCACCTGGAAGGGGTTTGCGCATGTGCCGCTCATGCCCAAGGGTCTGCAGGGTTTGCGCGCAGTAGAGACTCACCTATCTCGCTGTTAGGACTCAACGTGGAGGAAAACGCTACACTATCAAAAAACCTCAAATGTAGTTACTGCAGCAGCTTTAATTTTGCTTAGCCTTTCATGGATGTCTTAACACGCACTTCCTTAGCTTACTGAAAATGAGGGGCGAGAGCCGGCCTGCGCCATCAAGAAAAAATGCTCTCCTCCGCATGCGTGAATCCATTCTCATAAATGGAAATATACACCGGAATTCACCGTCTGATGCATCCGTTCGCTCTTCAGGGAACGGATGAATGGGAGGTTATGAAGTCATAATCTGCCCCCAGATCCTAAGGATGTCTGTCGTTGTTGAGAGTGTTCTAGAATGTGGAATCATGGCTTTATAAAAGATGCCTGTGTTCTTTGAAACTTTGGATTCAGGCATCTGCTGTGCGGTGTTTGCTAAAGAGACCGAGGGCAGACAGACCTGACTGACCCTGGCTAAGGTACTACCAAACTGATCCTTCGTGTGGTCCAAAAATGAGTGGGTTTCTGAACCAACCTTTTGTAGAGGGGCGCACTGTGACTGAAGGCTCGCTAGTGGTATTCTAAGCTAGTGACAGTGGAATTCGCTATAAAGGGACACATCCCGTGGCATCTGTGATATCAGAAGGGGATCCAGGAATGTCTTAGCAAACATTATAAGAGGATAGAATGTTCTGCGTTCTCGGGTGGTAGAAGTGAACTCACTGTATGTTCCAATCCTAGGAAAGATGGATGTTAGGAAACTGTAAATGCTAGAGAGAGATTAGAGCCAGGAGAGCTACAGCCAAACTTTTGACCGCAGCTTACATTGTTTGCTCTTTGGGGCCTCCAGCCTGGCCCCAAAGTTGGAGCCAACAGTTCTACTTCTCAGTGATGGAAGCTTTTTTTTTTTTTTTCTTTTTTTGGTTAGAAGCTCGATCTTATCAAAGTTTGGTGATTAAACCGTCTCCTTGAAATCCAGGCCTATGGCTCCACTGAGGGAAATACTAGGAAAACAACTGAGAGTCTTGGTTCCTTAAAATCTGCCCAATGGGACAGCTCCTTTCTTTGACATCTGTCTCTTACATTCATAAGCAGGTAGCAAAGGTGAAAATAATGCCAAACCAGAGAGCTTGCATCCCCCTCCAGAGGAAAGGGGGGAGAAGAGAAAGAGAGAGGGAGGGAGACAGAGAGGAGAGAGAGAGAGAGAGAGAGAGAGAGAGAGAGAGAGAGAGAGAGAGAGAAGTCATTAAAGTAGAATAACAACCAAACCTCCAGACCTTTGGAGATTATGCACCTCTTATGCCATTTGTCCGGAAACAGGCTTCTCTCCAACTATTTATACACTTTCCCCAGAGTTTTCAATCTTACTGTGGACACTCCTAGAAAGTATAAAGATGGTGACATCTAATACTCCAACCTGGATTGAAATTAAGTTAAATATTGAGATTAAATATATTTTCTGTTGAAAATATATGAAGAAAAGCCAACACGGCACCAAGTAATAATGACTTGTGGCTACCTCAATGTAAATGATAGAATATTCTAATAGATAAAATCCATGGTTATTTTTTTTAAAAACTAATACTTTAACACTTACAAATAAAAAGATAAATTCAGGCAGAAGAAAACAGTTTAAATATGGCAAAAATAAAAATATTTCCTAAGTGTTAATACTCTATGTTTGACTAATCTCATCCAATATACAATGACAAATTAATTGAAACAAGACTAGTTGAATACAGAATAACTACTGTTAAGAAGGGACTTCACATATGAGCTGAAATGCGACCACACAGCACAAGGCTAAACTGATCACTCACTAAGATATTATACTGATTGTTTATCCTGTGACAGCCAGAGGTTAGGGACAATAAAGCTCTGCTCAGAGTGAGTGAGTTGGGTCTCAGTCCTCAACAAGCTTTGTAGTGGCTAGACGTAGAGAAAAAAAAAAAAAAAAAAAAAAAAAAAAAAACACTTCAACAAATAAGTAATGTGGTATCCTGTGAGCATCTCCAAAGGGAACGAACAGTGTAGCATGTACTTAGGAAAGCGCAGAAGCCTCTCTGAGAAGGTGATATTTATGTGGAGGCATGAGGTGAGTAAGAAATTCGTGTCACACAGTACTACCTAAAGGCTACTGCTGCCAGAGGGAACAGTTAGAGCAGAAGTAGAGAGCACAGAAAGACCTGTTGCCACAGGCAGCTTCAATGCCAACATCACTTAACCAAGGCACCTTCTGATGATTGCCAAACCTTCAGCTCTCAGATTGCTCTAAGTAACTGGACTCTCCTTTCACTTTAGCAAAGCCTACTTCTTTGGAAAAATTCCACTAGAAAGAAGCAAACAATAGCAAAATGTCATGTTTCCTAAGAGGACTGGTCAAAACATTTAAAGAGCGCTATATTGGGGTAAAAAAAAAAAAAAAAGGAATACATTTATGTGCAATGCCTGCTTTAGGAACTGGAAATGGACAACACCTGCATTAACTACTGTGGACAAGAAAACTTTGAGAATCTCCCCAATTCTGGCTAAAATTATGAAAGCTTTTACTAATCTGCATGTTTTGAAGGCCTGGGTAAATATTTTAATCATATGTGTGCCTCCCCACCACCACCACCACCAACACACACACACACACACACACACACACACACACACACACACACACAGCACACGCACACGCACACGCACACGCACACGCACACACACACACACACTTTAAAATTTCAGTCAACATGGCTTTGGGGCCTAAGAGCTTCCTTGTTTGTAATATGAAATATTACATAATACAGAATCTGTAACTCATAATGCAGTAAGAAATAGTCTTAGGAGTCCTTATAGTTAAACAACTTGCCCTGTCTGTGCTATGGAGTAATCCTGTAAAGCAGAAATAGTTGAAACATCCCAAATGTCTCTTCCTTTTCTGGTTAACTCATAAGACATACAGCTTTTTGACCACCAGGTGGTGGTAGAAGCTAATGACAAGTTTACATCACTTAGATGATGGGAGGACTTTTGCTGTTTGTTTTTTTGTTGTTGGTGTTGTTGTTGTTGGTGGTGGTGGTGGTGGTGGTGGTGTGTGTGTGTGTGTGTGTTTACATATTTTGGAAGATTCATTTGAGATGAAATATAATCAGTAAATCACAAAAGAATCTGAGCTAAAATATCTCAGCATCATATAAATTGTAGGGGGAAAAGAATCTATTCCAAAGTAGCAGGAACTGAAAGAGATCCACCTGCTATTTGAATTGTTATAGATAATAACAGTAAGTAACTTAACGAAGCCTCAGTCATGTGGCCTTATAAACTTTTAAGTGTATTACATCACATGCGTTTCTAATAGAGGAGCTGTGAGACTGACTTAACAGACTGGAGGAAAAGGGGATAAAAGAGTCAGTATGCTGTCAGTGTCCCTAGAAAGAGACTGGGCTGACAAAAGGGATTTATGGTTACAATGGAAACTCACCTGAGCAAGAGGTGGGACAGGAATGGTCACAGAAGCTGGACACCAGAGAATGAGGTGGAGGAAGAAAGTTAAGTGGAATTAGCATCCTGTCTTAAGGACACAGCTGTGATGGCTGTGGGCAAGCTGGCAGAGAGACTCTTAAGGAAACTTTGGGAGGAAAACAAACCAAACAAAACTGGTTGCCTGGGAAGTGACAAGAAAGAAGATGCAGAGGGGAAGTACAGCCTGGTGACAATGACTTCAGTGAGCGATATAGACAATAGGAGTGTGAAGAAGTAATGATTGCTCTGGCGGTTTCTGTTAAGGGTTGTGATGGGGTGTGGTTAAATACTTGCCAATCATACTTAAAACTTACACTTGACAGTGCTTAGGTATAGAAGGCGTTTCCCTCGTTCACACATTGTTATCCTTTCTGGTGGTTCTCATGGGGTCCTGTCACAGAGGCTGCTGGGGCTGCTCCTGTTACGGTACCCTCACGAGCCCTCAAGGCTTGCCTCTTTGGGGCAGTCTTGTTCTCTCTTATGGGCTGTTTAAAATATAACCGGATAAAGCTGACTGTACTGGGAGACTGCCTTCAAATCCCCTCATTTACTCTAGTGGGCATGCTTGCTCACCCCCCACCCCAGATTGGAATTGTTTTTTAACATGGTTAGTCTTACTAATTTAACAAAACAGAAAAACTACCATTGCTTTGTTTGGGGGGATGGGTAAAGGGGAAGAGGATTACAAGCTTAACCATATTATTTGGACTTCATTTCATTAGATAATCCACTTTTATAGATCTTTGATGATAACAAATGAAGGTGATGTTTTGAAATCCCATGTTAAATGAAACACATGTGTTTCCAGTGATTCCTACTTCAGCATTCATTCCCTTCACTTGTTCATATTCTTTCCCCAAAATGTCCCTTGATGTCACTTTTGGGGGCAGTTCTTTTATGTAGAGCTGACTACCAGATCCCATCGTTTTGTGATTTTCTGTCTGTACTTCTGCCTACACTGTTCTAGTTTCTCAACA